GTAATGGTACCTCTTGCTGTACTCCAGTTCATCTTCCTGGAGAAATTCTGTCCAGTGAAGCCAGCTTTCATGAGCCTCCCATGTCTGCTGAACAAACACATGGCACTGTGATTCACTTTGCTTAGTAGAAGTGACTTGAGGGAGGAGCTGAAAAGGAACCGAGGTGCTCTCCTTTATTTTTTCACCCTCCTCAACAGTGAGAAGGCGTGACCTTCCTGAGTGGATGGAGTTGTCACTCACAGAAATGAGCTCTTCAATCTGCTGCCGTCCTCTCTGCACTGTGAAGTCATTGCCTGTGACCCACTGGATACTTTTGCTGACATACTCCATTTCTAAGATAGATAAAATGCTGACAAATCTTTCTGGGAAGACCCCAACATATGCAAATAGAGCAGGCATGCTACCTTTTTCTGATTTCTCCACCTCTGGAAGATGTTCTGAAGCGCTACTCCCACCTTCCATGAGAGTGTGAGCTTTTTCCTTACCGGCAGCATTTTTCTCTCCCTTGTCCATTGTCTTCACCCTTAGAAATGCAAACACACTGAGAGAGAGTTGGTCTTCAGACCCATCTGATAAACTTCAGACCAACGTGGAAAGGGATTGTGAGACAGCAATGAAGAGCGGCAGGCTGGCCTGGCTGCACTGAGCCCTCTTCCATAACTCACCTCTGCTCAGCGCTACTTACAGCTGCCCGGAGCGGTTGCTGTGGATTCCCAACTGCCCTCACCAGGAGCGGCGGGGCAGGTGGAGTCTGGTTCCAGACAGGGGTGGCTGGTGCCCAGGGCAGTGTTGCTGTGTCAGTCCTTTCCTCTCTGGGGAGATGAGACTGGCAGAGCAGCTCTCAGTACCCAGCGGTGCAGGGAGTGTTTGCCCTGTGTTGCCATGGCAAAGTGGGTGGTGGCCAAGGCAAGCACTGGGCTCCTGGCATCTCTGCTAGCATTCAGGGGTGTCTATGGATGGGAATCCTGGGGAAATTCCTCCTCAGCAGCCACAGTCTCCCATAAGGGGAAGACAGTAGGAGCAGGAAAGCAGCTGTGGGGTCTTGCCAGATTCTCTGTCAATTTTCTGCCAGTCTTGACAATTTGGGAACTAAACCAGCCTCCAGCTCTGTGCTCTGCAAACAGACTCAGTCCAGCCCTTTGCACAGAGGTGCTGTAGGCTCTTGTGTAGTGCTTGCAACACAGAGCCCTTCAGAGGGAAAGGACCATGGACACTACATGAGAGAGGCCAGGGATGTTTTAGCAGAACACATTGTACTGAATTCCCATCAGCCTGCTCTTCCAGGATGGCCAGGGGCTGTTACAAGGATTCAGCTACCAGAGCAATAAATGAGCAAACTGGGGGTCCCAGTCCTTGTAAGCTGATAGAGATGCTTGCTGCTTGAAGGTGAAAGGAGGTAGTGAGAGCGATGGGAAGCTGGTTTAGGTTTGTATGAGATGGGAGAAAGAATATCAACAGGTAATACCATGGAGCAAAAGAGCACTGTGAAACTTTCCTTTGCTCCTTGGCACACCTTGATCTGTGTTTCTTATGGGAGTTTTCCTCATTTGGTTTCACCCCCTCAGTAATAAAATTGGGAACTGCAGCACAGCTGTTTGCTGTGGGAAGATAACAGAGATTGGTGAGGAGAGCTGTAAACATGCTCAAATGACTTGCAGCTGGGGTGTCAAAAACACATCTATCATACTAATTGTTGTGTGTCTGACAAGTAGAACATCTGTGTTTAGATAACATAGACCGGTGATAGACTTAGAGGCAGCCTGTCAAACATGCTTGAAATCCCTGCCCTGCTGTGGGAAAGATCAAAGCACAGTGGTAAACTATGCCTGCGCGAATCCCTGAAATACAGGCGAAAACAGCAGATTGGGACTGAGCTTGTGGTGCCTGCACCCCTTGGATGCTGCTTCAGGGACCTCCTAGTTGGCTAGGTAACGAAAAAAATTCTCTTTGAATGTCATCTGTAGATCTGTGGTTGTTCCTGCATCCTGCCTGCGCCGGCTCGCATGTCTGCTTTGAAAGATAGATGGGAGAAAAAGACCCTGAGGACCCTGGTGTAGGACTTGTGCCAAGACATGGGGAAACATCTGAGAGGGAACTGGTGAACATGTTGGAAAATGGTTTAGCTGCCGATGGGAAGGTCTTGTGCTGGAACTGCTGGGGAGGCAAGACTTGGGATGCAGAGCCCTGCAGAGCTCTGTGTGTGTGACAGGTGATGCCCGTGTGTTTATTGCAGCTCCTGCAACAAAGGAAGCTTCTCTCAGCTGCAGCTCAGGACATGGTGTAAGGTGAGAACGGCCCGAGGCACGGTATCAAACAGAAAAGGCTCCTTCTGAACCCAAAAATTCTCCAACCTCACCCAGGCAGGACGAGTCTCACAGGAGTTGTTCAAGGCCCATTGGTATCTGGAATGACTACAGCAAACCCTGCCTAAAGCAGACCTGGTTCACTTTTCAACTGTCTGTGAAGTCTGGGAGAGGTGCTCAAGGCTACAGTGAGCCCTGGAAGCCTGTCTCTTCCTCGGCTTCCTGTCCTCATCTCCACATCTTTTCCATCTCCTATTTCTTGTCCTCCTGATCTTCTCTTCCTGCTAGTTCTTCTGTTTCTCCAGCCAGCACTGTAGCTGACTGATGGCAAGTGCTTTGGGCTGATATTTCACTGATTCCCAAGCACTTTTTAGCCCTTCAGAAAAGTGAGACCTTGACAAGATTGTCAGGAGCCAAACCCAAGGCTGACCACATCTAGAAAGCACATGCGGCTGGACAGCTTAATTTTACCATATTGCCTGAGAGCCTGGACACAGAGAAGTGTCAGACGTGTCTGTCCCTGCTCCATGACACAGGTTATGAGTTACGGTTCAGGACTACTGACAGACTATCAGAAACACTTCCTCCCAACTCAAATAATCAGCAGAGGAATTCAGATGCAAATTTCTGTGCCTGAACTTGCTGCTATTCATGCTAATGTAAATCCAGAAGAATTCTGCTTATCTCAGTGTATTTTCTTTTTCTGCAATATTATTACTCTTTCAGTGTGGCTACAAGGCAAATACAAGGAATTCTATTACAGAGACACACGAGCAGAGCAGAGAAACAGACTTGGTCACAGTCAGCAGAAAGCAGCCCCTAGTGCTGTGAGGCATCCTTGGCTCTCGCTGGCTGAGAACAGTAAGAGTGTTTTGCTGCTGGCCTGGCTGGTCTTTCAGTGTCCTTTGTGCAGCTAAGCATAATTTTGCAGTCACGGGCCTGAAAATTCTCAGCAATGTCTCTGATTGCCGTGACTCTGCACCTTGATCACTCTCTGTGGCTGTCTGTGGTGGTTCCACACCCTGTGCCTCACAGTCAATAAGTGTTAATGGCAGTGGCACAAGATCTGCACATCACTCTCCATTTGCCATACTTTAACAAGCAGATGAGTAAGTCGTTGTTTATAGTGGATTTAGGATGTAGCAGAAATAGTTTGGAGCTGTATCGCAAGTTAAAACTGATGAATGTTGCTGTGCTAGGAGGGAAGAATCACAGCTGCAGGAGGTGACACTGGTTGTTCACGCAGGCTGCTGCAGTCAGCACAGTTCTACAGGGAACTGCAGGTCAGCAGAAGTGGGCACAAAAATAGGATCAGTGATGCTGTCTTTCTGTGTTTTGCTAGGACTTACGATCACAGACACATCCGTGATGGTAGTTTTGTGGAAGTCCTCTCGGCATTTCTTTCTTCCTCTCAGACACCTCTGCAGTGTTTACCAGATTGCATAAAGTGAGGAAACCAATCCTGTCCAAAGCTTATATGCAACTGTATTGGGTTTGCATGGCGAGGGTTTGGTAGCGGGGAGGCTGCCTTCTGTGAGAAGATTCCCCCATGTCCAACAGAGCCAATGCCAGATGGCTCTGAGATGGGCCCAGCACTGGCCAAGGCTGAGCCCAGCACTGGCCAAGGCTGAGCCCATTGGTGATGCTGGTATCCCACCATCTGGGATATTTAAGAAGGTGGAGCGGGGGGGAGGGGGCAGGAAACCCCTGTGCAATAGCAGCTGGAGAGAGGAGTGAGAATATATGAGACACAACTCTGCAGACACCAAGGTCAGGGAAGGATGAGGGGAAGGAGGTGCTCCAAGCACTGGAGCAGAATTTCCCTGCAGCCCGTGGTGAAGACCTTGGTGAGGCAGCTGTCCTCCTGCAGCCCATGGAGGTCCGTGGTGGAGCACAGATCCATCTGCAGCCCATGGAGAAGCCCACACTGGAACAGGTGGATGTGCCTGTGACCCTGTGGGAAGCCTGCACTGGAGCAGGCTCCTGCAGAACCTGTGGACCCACGGAAAGAGAAGCCCTCGCTGGAGCAGGTTTGCTGGCAGGACTTGAGACCCACGCAGGAGCAGTCTGTTCCTGAAGGACTGCACCCCCTGGAAAGGGCCTACGCTGGAGCAGTTGGTGACGAACTGCAGCCCATGGGAAGGACTCACGCTGGAGAAGTTTGTGGAGAACTGTGTCCCCTGGGAGGGATCCCACACTGGAACAGAGGAAGAGTGTGAGGAGGAAGCAGCAGAAACAATGTTATGTACTGACCACAGCCCCGATTCCCCATCTCCCTGCACTGGGAGGGAGGCGGTAAAGAAATCAGGAGTGAAGTTGAGCTTGGGAAGAAGGGAGGAGTGGAGGAAAGGTGTTTTAAGATTTGGTTTTATTTCTCATTATCCTTTTCTGATTTGATTTGCAACAAATTAATTTCCCCAAGCCGAGTCTGTTTTCCCCATGACAGTAATTGCCAAGTGATCCCTCTGTTCTTATCTCGACCCACAAGCCTTTTGTTATATTTTGTCTCCCCCATCCACCTGAGGAGGGGGAGCGATGCCCGCTTGGGAGAAAAGAGAGTTGCCCGCTTGGGTGGGCAACTGGTGTCCAGCCAGGGTCAACCCACCACAGCAACACAGATACAAGGGTACATGTATATCTTTATTAAGAGTTAAATCATTTTGTATAGATATGTGGATTCTTCAAAGTGCCACCACCTTAGTCTATGTTCTCCAGACCCTGAAAAAGAAAAAGAAACAGTTGTATCTGCACCGTTCTCACTGCTAACTTCCAAGAGGGCATAGCTGAAAATGCAGGCTTTCAAACTATGCTTAAGAATCAAACCTCTAATTAAAAAAAAATTAAAATAATGAAATGCACATCCCCACACGCAGGCCAGCTGCAGGTACAAAGCGAGCCTCAACAGCCCCAAGAGCGACCACTGCCCCCCTCAGAGCCCCCCCAGTCCAGCGCAGGGCTCCTGCTTCCCTCCCAGTGGTACCAGCCCAATACCCCGAGCACCTGCCTTGGAGACGTAGTACTTGTTGACCCCCGAGACCCGTCTGTCCCTTTCCATCAGGGCCCACTGGTAGGGATAGCGGGCGATCCTCTTCTCCTGCGGGTACGCACAGCGCTGTCTGTTACGGCCCGCGGGGAGCGGGCACTCCAGGGGAGGGGAACCTCAGAGGGAAGAGAGATCCCGGGGGAAGAAGGCACGGGGGAAGGAGGGGCCCGGGATCCCAGGGGGAAGGAGAGGGCTGGGGGGAAGGGAGTCCCGGGGGGAAGCGAAGCCCCAGGATCCCTGGCTGTGGACAGAGCCTCAAGGGGAGGAGAGGGGGAGG